CAGGGCCATCTGACTCTAGAACCCTCTGACATTTTTCTGCATGGATTCCCAGCATTTATTCCTCTCTCTCTCTGTTTTGTACTTCAACCTGGCTCAAGTCTAGGCCTCTCCCTCTCTTGCCACAGTTCTTTGGGATTCCTTGTGGCAGCCAGCCTGGATGAGAGTGCCTAGTTCTTCTGTGAATTCTCTACTTCATAACTGCTGACCTCGCCTTCCCACCTTCTTTCTTTCAAGTTATTCTACATTCCACATAGGTTAATGTTGCTGAATTTACATGTTTTTGTATATCATCTCAACTCAAAAGGTTGTACCAATCCCCCTGTTTAAGATGTCAGATCCAGTTCTGCCTTTTATTAGTCGTATCTTTGAGCAATGTAATGAATTTTTCTGAGTCTCAGTTTTCTTATTTCTAAATTGAATATGCACACCTGTAATCCCAGCATTTTGAGAGGCCAAGACAGGCAGATTGCTTGAGCTCAGGAGTTCGAGACCAGTCTGGGCAACATGGTGAAGTGCTCATCTTTACAAAACTTACAAAAATTAGCCGGGCATTTTGGCACACACCTGTGGTCCCAGCTACTCAGAGGGCTGAGGTGGGAGGATCGCTTGAGCCTGGGAAGACAAGGCTGCAGTGAGCTGTGATTGAGCCACACTGCACTCCAGCCTGGGTGACAAAATGAGACTCTATCTCAAAAACTAAAATACAGTTAATCTGGTGATATCCACTCCATGAAGTCATTAAGAAGATTAGACAAGGTTGTCATTCTGGACAGGTGAGGCTGTGCTGCTGTGATAAATGAACCCTAACACTCCGTGGTTTTGTTCTCACTCCTGCTGCATGCCCCTTACAAGCTCCTCATCTTCACTTCGGGGCTCAGACTGACAGCAGCCTTTATCTGAAATGTGGGCAGATGTGGGCCAGTGAATACGAATGCTACGACCTCCTACAGAAAATGCACAGCACACACCTGCACGATGTCTGACGCCTGGTACGTGCTGAAGGAACGTTCTCTCCTTGGAGCTCATCCTCAAGTGGGAAGTCTGTTACACCAACGTCTAAACCTTTATGGGAAGCCTGTTCCTGCAAGGTGTGTGAAGTTCAGACATCAACCCTTACAATCCTCTTTCAGTGGGCTTACACTGTTGAATGATTAAATTCTTTATGTCTCCTGGCTTCAAAATCTGTGTAGGTTACTACATCTGTTTCCTGGGGCAGCCATAACAACCTCAAACTCAGGGGCTTAAAACAATGGCAATCGAGGCTGGGCGCGGTGGCTCAAGCCTGTAATCCCAGCACTTTGGGAGGCCGAGGCGGGTGGATCACGAAGTCAGGAGATCCAGACTATCCTGGCTAACATGGTGAAACCCCGTCTCTACTAAAAATACAAAAATCTAGCTGGGCGTGGTGGCGGGCGCCTGTAGTCCCAGCTACTTGGGAGGCTGAGGCGGGAGAATGGCGTGAACCCGGTAGGCGGAGCTTGCAGTGAGCTGAGATCGCGCCACTGCACTCCAGCCTGGGCGACAGAGCGAGACTCCGTCTCAAAAACAAACAAACAAACAAAAAAACACAATGGCAATCGATAAACTCACAGTTCCGGAGGCCAGAATCTAAAACGCAGGTGTTGGCAGGGCCACAGTTCCTCCAGGGGCTCTCAGGGGAATCGTTCTTGGTTTCTTCCAAAACCTGGTGGCCACACCACTCCTACCTCTGCCTCTGTGGTCGCATCGCCTCTTCCTCTTCTGTGGGTTTCCCCTGTGTGTCTCCCACAAGGACACTTGTCACGGTATTTAGGACAGACTCAAATAATCCAGGATGCCCTCCTCACCTTAAGATCCTTAATTTAATTGTATCTTCCAAGACCTTCTTTCAAAGAAGGACACATTCACAAGTTCTGGGAATTAGGACATGGGCATATTTGGGGAGGGGGATCACCAACTACCTCACTACTATCATCAAGTGCATATGCTTAAGCATTTCAAAGTTTGCAACTCGGTTGTTTTTCACCTGTTTTAGAAAGAGGTTGATTTTACACACCACATTGTTCTTTCAGTGACCAATATCTTATAAAAAGCCCAGAACTAAGTAAAGAGCATTTATTGCCATGGTAGCCAGTTTTGTCACGAGAAACAGCCCACTGTATGTCCACATTGTCATATTAGGAAAGCAGAAAGAGTAATTATATTAAAATAAAATACAGTTGCCTCTCTTCTTTCTTTCCTTTATTATTTCTGTGATTGACAGTCTATCAGGTGAGGCTTTTTTTTTTTTTGCTGAGGTTGCTCATACAGGCCATGTTGATGTCTCTAGAGGTTCTGCATATAAGGAAAGTCAGATTTTTCACCTTTGACAAAAGTGAAATTTTTCCATTTAATTCTGCATTGACTAAGGTTTTCTGGGAGATTCTGAGCAGTCTCTGTTTCTGAAATGCAAAGTCATTATGAAAGAAGTTCTATGACAGAATAAAAATTATTACAATTCCAAAGGAGTTGGTCTAAAATTAATTGTATTTTAAAAGGAGTTTCATTTGCTTTCTTTCTTTTTTGGAAGAATTAAATGTAATTTGATCTCTGGGAGAAAATACCAACCTCTTCATGTATATACTTGTTTTGTTTTTTTCCTAGCATTTGGTAAAAGTTAATGAGGCACTTTTTTTTTTTTTTTGTATTGTTAGCACAAGTCCTTACTCTTGGTGTGAAAATATATTGACATTTGCTACCCTTTCTATATCATGTGTAAGTGATAGAGGAAGGGAAAAAGGGAAAGAATAGTAATTTGTTGTCGTGGAAATGAATTAATACAAAACTGGTGGTTTGTACTATGACTTGAGATGCTTGGGAAGGAGGAGGGGGAAGAATGATAACATCTATATCATCACGAAGCCAAACTTCATAGAGAAATATAGGCAAATATCTGGACAGATTTTTATTCCCCATCTTTCTAAACCCCTCACATGTGTATTCAGAGGTTGAAACTACCATGTTCTAACAGAACCAGACAAGGCCCTAGGAACTTTTACCCTCTCTGAGCAAGGCATGGCCAAGTGCAGTGTTGGGAGATTCTATATCCAGTCTCTGCATTTCTTGGACAAGTTTGACTCCAATTTAGATAAAAATAACAGAGGCATTTTTGGCCGGGTGCAGTGGCTCACTCCTCTTATTCCAGCACTTTGGGAGGCCAAGGAGGGCGGATCACAAGGTCAGGAGATCAAGACCATCCTGGCTAACACGGTGAAACCCAGTCTCTACTAAAAAAATAAAAATACAAAGAATTAGCCTGATGTGGTGGCGGGCGCTTGTGGTCCCAGCTACTCGGGAGGCTGAGGCAGAAGAATGGCGTGAACCGGGGAGGCGGAGCTTGCAGTGAGCCGAGATGGCACCACTGCACTCCAGCCTGGGCAACAGAGCAAGATTGTCTCAAAAAAAAAAACCAACCAAAAAACAGGCATTTCAGCAGCTCCCCTTCACTTCCTGCAATTAGATTGGCTGCCCAATTTCCAGTAATGCTCCATTTTCTGGCAAGTAAAACCACCATCACAGGGTTAACGAGAATTACAAGTCAGCCTTTAGGCAGAATTGTCTTTAGGCATTGACCAGGGCACACTTTGACCACTCCCTTGCAGTTACTAACTGAGAGTCATGTAATAGCACACTGACTACCTGCACCCATCTGGAACCTATTATTCCTATAGATAAAATCTCTGACAATAGACTTTTTTACCCATGAATTGCTTAAGGTGTTTTTCAAATCCACCAGAATGGCTAATGCCAACCAGTCTAAAGACCCCCACCAAGGAACCAATTCAGCACAGGAATGCGGTTTCTTCATCACCCTGCCTGTCCCATGACTTCACCCTTCACTTCTCAACTCATCAAGAATCCCCACACTTTAGTCCATTGCCTGTACAGACCCCTTAGAAACAGTATCCCCATACCTCTTGGGGAGGTGGATTGGAGGTTTTTTCTGATCTTCTCCTTTGGCTGTCCTATGATTATTAAACTCTTTCTCTGTTGCAACCCCCAGTGTCTCAGTATGTTGACTTACTGTGCGTCAGGCAATGAACCTATTATAGTTACAGAAGAACTGTAAATCACAGAGTTATCCCTTGTGGCCATGTCTGGACTATTGATCCTAGCTCCTATTCTACTTCCAGTCATTGGTTCAGGGGTGAAACCTGGCTTAATTTGACCGATTGCATGCTCTTTGGGGCATGGTTCATTGGTCCCGGAGTGGCCATCTGAGACAAACCGAATTAACCACGATTGTTTCCCAGAACTTTTTAAACTGGAACTAAGAAAAGAGAGCTGGTTTCATTTTGGAGGTGAAGATGTGGGCTCTGAGGCCTGGAATCTAAATGTGACCATATGACCTACTGTTAAAGAGATCATTTTAAGAGAATGAAGCATGGAGTGGCAGATGAGAGATGGGAGAAAGTCTGCTGGCAGAATGTAAGTTCCCAATTCAGTTGTCCTCATGGTCCAGCTGCACTTCACATCTTCCCGCAGTTATGAGAATCCACCCCCAATACATTCCCATTGCTTGACTAAATTATTTAAAGATGGGTTTGCATCCCTGGAAATCAAAAAAAGTTTTAACTGGCTGGGTGCTGTGGTTCACACCTGTAATCCCTGCACTTTGGGAGGCGTTGGTGGGTGGATCACTTGAGTTCAGGAGTTCCAAACCAGCCTGAGAAACTTGGTGAGACCCTGTCTCTGAAAAAAAAAGAAAAAAGTTTTAACTAATATACCTTTCCCTACCCTTTGTGGTTGTGACTTAAAGCATTCTCAGTTAAGTTCTCAGTTAAGTTCTAAGCATCTTAGGAGATGTTAGAGGCATGGGTCAGCCAAACAAATGAAGTCACAGAGCCCCAGCATATTGCTGTGTTACTTGAGGCCAGAGGAAACCCAGGGAGTCCTTCAATGGGAATATTCTGTTTTGATTTGCTGAGATCTGCTGAAGGCTCCTTCTTAGGTTGCACACAAGCAGTCCCCCAGCTTGCAGAGACATTTTTGTTTTATTTTAAAAAGTACCATATCAAATACAGTCCTTTGGTTGGCAGAGTTCCTTATATATCTTCTACATCTCTTGTGGCACTTTCACATCCATTATCACGTTTTTACCTCTTAAGAGTTCCTAGAGATGAGTGAGGCCAAATGGTACATTACCATTTTAAAAGGAGGAGGCAACTGCATTCCAGAAGGATTAAGTGTTTTGTTGAGAGCTGCTGAGTTAGTCCAGGACAAGATCAGCCTAAAAATTGGATTTCCTGACTCTCAGGACTTAATCCCTGCCCTACCCACATTTGACCAAAAACAAATGAGTCTTGTGGCTTCTCTGGTTGTTAGTCTGAGAAGGCAAAGACAAGGGGCTGGGAAATGTCCCTCCAGCTGGCCATGTGGACTTGTAATAGGCATGTAAATACCATGCTGGGACATGGGGGCAAGGCTCATTTGCTGCCTTCTCACAAAGTAGAATGGGAGACTCCGTTGCACAGCGTTAACCAATTGGTTGCAGAGTAGTCTGGTGAAGTGTATTAAGGACATTACCAGAGCAATGTAAGCTAAGGCCAAGGAGGACAGCCTGACCAGAGGAAGACCACAAAGTATGTGTTTCTACGTTTACATATGCCTCAGGAGAGTTTGGCAGCATAACTGGGACCATTTTCCAAACTGAAAGAAGGAATTTCTCTCCTTGCGAGGTTGGCTGGGCAGGCTCCATGGAGGCCGAAGTTTGCCTGCAGAATTACTTGGCTTTGTATATAGCTAGATGCGGTCAACTACACTCCCGCTTCCAACAGGCAGTCAATTGGAGAGGGCTAGGGTTTGCAGATGGCTCTTCTGCTCTGCTCACCATGGCCCTGGCAAAAGCAACCACTGAGACTCCATTTGTGGTGAAAGGAAACGTAGTTGAAGGGTATGTTTTACCAGGGATGAAAACCAAGTGAACCCAGGAATATATCATGAGGCTCCCTTTTTCAGCTCAAGACCCTGAAAAGAAAAATAAACTTTGTTGATAGTATTTGACTATTGTTCATGTTTAAGGGCCTCCAAAATTTGGAAATGGGGGAAACAGGACTGACATTTTTAAGTGTTTAACTGTAATAACTGTAGTATTGGACTAAATGTGAAAGGTCAATGGAAAAAAACAGGATGACTTCCAAAGCCCTTGGACTGACTGGGAGTGGGAGGACGGTGGTGCAAGGGAGGCAGTGGTTGGGATGGGCAACTGTGGAAACAGAGAAAAAAGACAGACACAGAGACAAATATTGGTGGTCATTCAAACCCTTCCCAAAAGAAAAGAAGTCTTAGCCAATGGATTTTGAGGGTGCAATGCCACTCCCAGTGGGTAAATGTATCTACAGGGGTATAATAGCTCTTGTGTTTGTGCATTCACATTCTGTCCATAAGACCATCTCTGTGTGGCATGAATGATGTACCGAGTAGCTTACTTTGCTACTGCAAACCTTTGGCTTATCCAATTCCCTTTAATCTGATGTCACACTCAACAAGTAATCTCCTGATTACTGTTTAGCTCCTACAGGGAAAGAATGTTTTGATCCCAGAAACTTCAGATATTCTTGTCCTTCTAAAGATGGTTTCTTACGAAAAGTGAATAACTTGGCATTCTGATGTTTTATATTAGCCTTTTGAATGTAGTTAGCATGAGCCTGCCCTGAGAGATGCACTGCATGGTGTGCTGACAAAGTCAGGTCTGAGCTTACCAGGCTAATTATCTGACTACTGATGATTATCAATTTGTAAGATAATAAATGATACCCTGTCAGGCCATCTGGGAGACGGCCGGCCAACCTTTCCACAGTGGGGCATCCTGGTATTGCCCTTTAACTGAGAAAGCACATTTGGAACTTTAATATAACCCTCTTTGAGGAAGAAATAGCTACAGCAAGGTAAAAATAGGGTGTTAGTGATAGGAGGTGGGAGTGGTGCTAAAAATGTTTATGGCATGAATATAGTAGCCGTGAGAATGTGTCTCACAGACTTCCAACCACAGGGAAGTAGCTGTGCTCTGTAATCTATTGTCATATTTGCACAAAGGCCACACCTCAGTGGGTTGCTCCCAGTCAGTGACTGAGCACAACAGGAATACTAAGGCAGGCCCATTCCTGGGAAACACAAGACTCCTCTGATGGGTGATATTGGCTTGAGAACTCCCCAGCAGCCTTGCCAAACCTCTTCTAGATTGCCTAGCAGTCTAGAATGCTTCCATCTAACCTTCCTTTCCATATTCCTTCTTGGGGTCAGATTTTCATCATGCTCCTTACATATTTAGTCTTGTCTTTTCAAATTTCCTAAACAATCACAATAAAAAACATTGGATGAGATGTGAAAGGTCAACGGAAAAGATAGGATGACTTCCAAACCCCTTGGACTGGCTAGGAGTAGCCAGGATCCTGGCAGGAAAGAGATGGTATACTCAAATTGGGATACTTTGAGTAGAGTTAAATAAAGGAATTGTTTTCAAAGTTATGGGCAGGGTATAGAGAAGCCACAAGGGAGAGTGTAGTTGTTCATGGATAGCTAGGTACTGCTCTCCACCCTAGGCCTGAAGGAGCGAGGGGAGAGAGCAGTTACTAAAACCCCAAGATTAAGAGGGCTGTGGGTAGAAGCCTGCCTTAAAGGAGCTAGAATCTTTGTGCAAGGAATGCAGCCCATCTGCAGAGTCCCCAACTGGAGTTGCTAAAGGAATAAAGACCCTTGCTTCCATGTACTGTCTCCCTCTGATCTCTTGTTTGCAATTGGCCCAGCCCAGCTGGAAGCCACAGGGAACATGAGCCTATCGATACCTCATGCGTCAGCCTCATGCATCCCACACAGGGAAAGAAAGGTGGAGAGTGGATCTGTAAAGGCAGGTGGGATGTCTCCAGCCACAAGACAATAGTGCGCTTTTATATGGAAGCATCAAGGCTTCCCTTAAGGCTTCTCTATGGCAGCAATGATGAAAGAGAGCCCCAGCCTGGCAAATGAAAGACACAGACTCCACTGAAGATAGTGTTGGGTGAAAGAAACAGCAAAGACTGTGAAAGAAAGTCCAGCCCTGGGGTTCTGCCTGGACCTAGACAAGATCTAGCCCTGGTTTGTTTTCAAAACAGGGCTGGTAGGAGACCATTGATCTTTAGGCTTTGGGATATGGTGCTTTCTTCAGGATTGGACTCATGCGGTAGTCTCCAAAGAGGTCAGTAGGTGGGAGGATATCTTTTCAGCCCAGAATGGGCTAATAAGATAAATTCAGAATTAAACTGCCATGACTGCTCATAAACACAGAAAAGAAAAGGAACCGGATGGAAACAAAGGGAGAGCCTGCTGCTGGCATCTTTCTTTTTACCACTCTCCCCTGGGAGGTTTGTCTCTGTGGCATTGCAGTCTCAGTTGGAGACTTCTTGGAAGGAGCAGAAGAGCTTCTTGAGTCTAAATTGACATTGAAAAAAGGCTCTGTATTACAAGAATACATCTGAATTTATCATGGAAGTCAAGAGGAAAATGTGATTGAGGGAATTCCTAAACTCCACCCTGTCTCATCACCCCATGTCCATATCAAGCACCATGTTTTATGGAGCCTTCCCCTGTCTCCTGGATCTGCCTACTTCTCTTCATTCCCATGGCCACTGCCTGAGGCCAATTCACCATCATATTTGCTTGGATTACCACAATGGTTGCCTCACCAGTCTCCCTGCCTCTGGCCTGACTCAAATATCAGTCAGGATACTGTTGGCTATGAGAAAACCGTGACTAAAATTGGCTTACTGTTGCACCTAACCACAGGTTCCTTGTAGGGGCAGGCTCCAGAACAGCCCACCAAGGCTCTGGCTCTACTTCTTTCTGCACCTCTTAGCCTTAAACTCACCCATGTGATAACTTCATCAGGCTGGTAGACTGATAACCACATCCATTCCTGGTGTCATATCTGGTCTTCACAAAGTCCAGAGGTGGAAAAGGCCATCTCTTCTTGTGTGCTTCACTTATGCAGGAGGAAACATTTCTAGAAGCCCTCAAGGAGACTCCGCTGCACTTGGCCACCCAGAAGAGGGGGATTTCTAAACAAGCTGGGAGTTCTGTTAGGAAGGAAGAAGTTGGCTGCTACATCCATTTTTCTACACAGCAAACTTAGTGATCTTTCTAATGCAGAAATCTGATCATATCATTTTCCTGCTTAAAGTCCTTCAGTGGCCCCCACTACTCTCACACAAAGTCCACATGTCTTACATGAGCATATGAGGCCATTTTTGCTGTGACCCCTGTGTACCACCCCAGTCTTACTCCTCTCCCTGCCCTCTGTCCTGCAGTCATGCTAAACTGCTTGCATTGATACAAACAAGCCATGTTCTCCCCTCTATCAGTTGCTTCTTGGTTTCTGCTGGGTCCTTTGCTTGGAGAACACCTTGCTTCTTCTGGCTTACTCGGGTCATTTTGGGAAACTCCATATAGATACCAGTTCTTCTCAGGAGGCTTCCCTTGGCACTGCTGTGTGCTTACTCTTACCTATCCCTTGGCCTACCTTGGCCAAGCCTTCCCTTAGCCCATCTTGTGCCTACTCTTACACTATCTGGCTGTATTCAGATGACCTATTTGCCAACCTGTTTCTCTTTCTGGACTCCAGGCCACAAGAGGGAGAAGTCTGTGTGCCTACCGTAAGGAGCTTTCTGGTGCCTCAGGTAAGACTCAGGTTCTAGCATCAGACAGCCTGGATTTGGCTCTTGTCTTCAACTACTGTAACTATATCATATTCAATTATTATGAGTAACTAAGGTCAGTAACTACTTTGAGTACTCAAGGTAGTTAGTGACCTTGAGCAAGTTATTTAACTCTTCTGAACTTTTGTTTTCTTCATCTATAAAGCAGGGACAATAACAGTAACTACCTCATGCAGTGATTGTGAGGGTCACGTGGGATGATTTGTGTAAAGCACTTAGCACAGTGCCTGGCACCAAGCTGGCGCTCAGTGAATGTTAGGCTGAATGGTGATTTGGTGAACACAGCTGAGTCTCTCCCACTGTTCTGGGAATGTTAAAAGCATTCTGATACAGGTGCCTGGATACGGGGCTGCCAAGGCTAATCTTACATACATAATTGAGGAGGATGTAGGGACATGTTGGCTTCTCACACAATTATTTTACTAGCCTATGTTGCTGAATTCTCAGTCTTGTCATTACATATTGATTATTTCATGTTAGCAATCAATCAATAATTACTAAGAAAAAAATCCTGATAGTGCAGTGGGAAACTCATTCATTTCCTGCACCAAAAGACATGGCCTTGTCCAACTAGTCAAGGTGTAGACAGCAAGTGCTCTTGGACTTCAGAGAAGAACTCTACATTGAACTTGGAGGATGATGACATTTAGACAGATGGAGATGGGAGAAGAGGACCCAGACAATGAGAAGAGAGGAGGCTGGAGAGCTCTGTGCATGGCAGAGGATAGCATATCAACCTCTGGTGACCAGAGGGTCTTGCAGGTACATACTGGGCGATTTTTCCTTGAAAAATGTGAATTCACTTTAATTGATATTTTATCATAGAGTTGTAGAACCAGAAAGGAATTTTAAATCCCCTTATTTGAAGAAACTAAATACTGGGTCCAAAGTCACCCAATTAGTTGGTAAGAGAGAGAGAGATTATAAACCCAGGTTATCTGATCCCAAATCTAGACTTTAGAGCTCTTTTACCCACTACCAAACCACCTCTTAATTAGTGTAGTTCTATTTCTTCTAATAAGGTGCTGAGATAATGAAGTGAGAGAAATTGGGGATTCATTGTGGGTGGAGTGGGTGGGTGAGAAGGGAGCACAAGAGGAAAGAGAAGAGGAGACCCAGGAGGAAGTGGGGAGGTGGGAAACATGCATCTCTAACACTCAGCCTCTTCTAACCCTCTTTTCCTTCTGAACAGAGCCTAAAATGCATTCACACAAAAGTATAAATCACCCAAAAGCCAGAATCAAAACATCGTGCTCAAGTAGCCTGTTATCAGGAGGGGCCTGGAGTGGAACACTATGTTGCAAGAACCAGCAAGCACATCTGAAACCCAAGTTCCAATTCCAGTCTGCCACTGACTCATGTTACAGCCTTGGGGAAAACATGCAGCCAATGGAACCACATAGAACATTCTAAAGGAATAATTCTGAAGATACTTGAAGACTGTTGCCATCATCCAGCCCTCCTCCCAAGGCTTTAGGTCTTCAGGCTAAATACCTTGCATTCTTTATCAGTTCCTTAATTTCCAATTTACCCTGATTGCCCTCCTCTGGATGAGTAGCAATCTGTCAATGCCTCTTTTCAAGGTACCATGAATGGGATATAGATTCCAGCTGGATGAGTAGATCAGTCCAATTCTCTCCTTGCCATGCACTCCAGACTTGTATAATGGAGTTTGAGCACTGGGCCTCTCTGGCACTTTGTCTTACCAGTACTTTCCTCCCATGTGGATGCAGATCCACTCAGTTACACACATATCCATCCAACGAGGCTATCATCTACCACAGGCTCCTCCATTTTCTCCAGAAACAAATTCAGAAAGACTTTGTTAAATGCTTTGTAGAAATTCAGATATGTTATGTGCACAGACATATCTTGATTTACCTGTCTGTAGTCACAATCAAAACAAAAAGTTGTATTTGGTCTTTCTGAGCTTATGTTGCCTCCTGCTGGTCCCCACCTCTTGTTCCAAATGCTCATGGGTCTTCCTGGTCTACAACCTGGTTCAGGTTGCCTCCATGCTTACCAATCTCTCATTGTCAGGACCCACCTGCTTTCTGTAAAAACAAACAAACAAATAAACAACAGCAACAACAAAAACTTGTTCCTTACTTTTGGTTGTCTCTAGTTTTCCAGCATCCCCTCCATTTTCCTGATTACTGAGAGGATTACATAGAGCAGTTCGATCATCTCATTGCAAAATGCCTGATTATCCTGGCATATAATTTTTATTTATTTACTTTAGAGATGGAGCCCTGCTCTGTCACCCAGGCTGGAGTGCAGTGGTGTAATCATAGCTTACTGCAGTCTCTAACTTCTGGGCTCAGCCTCCTGAGTAGCTGGGAATACAATGGGCGCTACCACACCTGGCCCTGGCATGTAATTTTTTAACATCTTTCTTATAAAAGACACTTCTGGTAGAAGTAAGGATATAGGTGAAGATGCAACATTTTTTTCTTTTTTTTTTGAGACAGAGTCTCACGGTGTCACCAGGCTAGAGTGCAGTGGTGCAATCTCAGCTCACCACAACCTCTGCCTCCTGGGTTCAAGTGATTCTCCTGCCTCAGCCACCCAAGTAGCTGGAACTACAGGCATGTGCCACCATGCCCAGCTAATTTTTGTATTTTTAGTAGAGATCAGGTTTCACCATGTTGGCCAGGATGGTCTCGATCTCTTGACCTCGTGATCCACCTGCCTTGGCCTCCCAAAGTGCTGGGATTACAGGCATGAGCCACCGTGCCTGGCCCTAACGTAATTTTTTAATACCTTTCTTATAAAAGTCACTGCAGGTAGAAATTAGGATATAGGTGAAGATATAACAAAGACTTGTGATAATAGAGAATTGGCACAGATAGAGGATCTCTCTGAGGCCCACACCTCTGTAACAGCCCATGTGTAAGCAGTCCTGGGCTCCTATGGTGGCATCAGGGACCAGGATCCTTTGATCTTGCTGTTCCATCTCTAGAGAGTTGCTTTTGCCCATATGGTTTAAGGCAGCTCATCAGCATCATTTCATAAGCCTCCTTGGCAGTTGGAAGGGGAAAAAGGGAGAAGGAAGGCACAACCCTGAACTTGCATATGTTGCTTCTATTTATATCCTACAGGCAAGAACTTACACACAGGCACTGAGCCGAAAGGAAGCCTGGAAATGCAATCTTTATTCTGAGATGTAATATGCTCAGCTAAAAGTCTGCAGTTCTGGTTCTATGGGAAAAAAGAAGACATATATTAGAGAAACTCTCTGCCACACTTTAACTTCCTCTGTAAATCTCTTACATTCCCCATTTTCCCATATCTGAAACTGTAGAGTCACTTCCACTTTTCCTAATTCTTTTTTAGTTACTCACAGAATCCTATTTATTTTATTCTTATAATCAATTCTATTTTACTTCTTAAAATATTTTTATCCATCTGTTTCTTCCTATATTCACAGTGATTGACATCCAGATACAGACACTCATCAGTCTGGTTTTGCCCAACCCAGAATCCACACTGGTCATCTTCCACCTGCTGGGGCTTGGCGGGAAAGGACGGAGGATAGCTCTTCCCATTGGCAAGTGGCATAGGACATAGTTTTCTGCTGCTCTCAATACTGATGCCTATTTGGCATTGGACTGGGGATGGGGAACCAACATTCTTCCTTGTTGGCCCCCTGTCAGGAGGGATAAGAAATCACTGCTTCCGCCACTGCGACATCCTTCCCAGGTCCAGCTAATTCCCACTGACATTGGTTCAGCCTCACTCCCCAGAGAACAGTGCTCTTCCAATTTATGTCATCTTTCTCCCCATCTTTTGGGAGCTGTGTTTAGCCACTTTGTCATTTAACAAGACAGTAAGAGCCTTTCAACTTGTGTCTCTGGAAACATCTTCTCTTCCTCTCAATCATTCTGTGCAAAGCCAAATTAATCTCCTTAAAATAGTGATTTCATTTTTAAAAACTCTCCTACTTAAAAATTTCAAAAGGGTGGGCCATTTGTCACAGCAGGGGTAGCAACAAGCAAACGCATGTTGCCTTGCTCAAGGTCGATCTCAGTAATTGATCAAGATACTCTTTCCAGCTCAATGCAGATGAAGCTTTAGAATCCTTTCCCACAATTGGCACTACCAACCGATTAGAATTGGCATGGAAGATAGATCTTGTTTATCACCCTTGGCCTATAAAATTATTTCCAAAAGTTAGGCTTTTGACAGTGCTCTATCTCTGAATGCTTTTTGTGTGTTTCAAACCGTGTTTGTCAATATACGCAGGGCCTATTTCCTCAAATAAACCATACATTCTTCATTCTGGTTTTCTTTTTCCCTTAAATGTCTGGGTTCTGCTCACAGAGTTGTTTATAGCTGTCCTTTGTCAAAGAGGAGATGGTAAAGTTGCTGAGGGCTGAGCCAATGGCAGAGGAAAGGAAGGCCAGAAGGAAAATCTAAGCTCTCATCAAGAAAGGCAGTAAAACGCTGTAAGCAGAAAACTGGTGCCAGGTGTGAGATCCAGGGAGCGAGGCAAGGTCAACAAATGGAAAAACCAGAGCTCAGGAGCCAGAAGGATGGGAAGTAAGTGGGGTTGCAGAGTGCAAGTTGAGACAAGGCAAATTGTTCAGACCTAAGTGTTTTTTGGCGCTCTCAGACCGACCTCTGTGCAGGGTCAGCCATTAAAACAGAACTCCATACGTAATATGCACTCACACGTGAATAAGCAAAAACATAAAGTAATATCATCTAACCCTATGTTGAAATGCTATATTGAACATCCATTTTCTAGTTTCCCTCAGTCTTCTATACCCAAATTCATACAAAAATATTGGCTTAGCAACTTTCCTTTAAATTACTGGTTCTTCTCTAAATGTCTTTAACATTGTATTTAAACCAGAGTGGAAAAGATAACTCTTGGTAAGTACAGTAATAATAAGATACACCATTTAAAAGATGGCAGATGGAAACCAGAAAGACTCCACCCTGGGATTTTTGCAGATTAGATTCACATGAAGCTTTAGTCCCCGCTCTGCTCCTGCTAAGGCTAAGGGATGGGCTTCTTGCCACAACTGCCTTTGCAGAAAATAACATCTTGCTCCTACCAAGAAAGCAGGTGACAAGCTCAGCAGCTGTGCTTTGTTTTGTTTTTCTCCATGGCAGGGACATGTGCCCCTAAGTGGGCATTGTTTGTGGAATCAGTAGGACAGCAAATGCAAAGGCAAGGAGATACAGGTGAGTCAGGAAGGAGAAAGTGGCACTTGGGGGCAGAACAAAACACCAAAAAAGCCAGGTGATGGAAACAAGGAGAACTATCATTCGCCCAAGTTAACAGAAGCAAGTTGACTCATGCAACTGTGAGAAAAGCTAAGATTGTTGGCATGCACATGGTGAGTCATCTAATGTATAAGTCAAGCTACCAGCTAGGATTAATCTTGTGCATGGAAACAAATTCAAGTATTTTGAAGATGAGCTAATGAGATTGACCTGTAGGATCACGCAGCACTAATAGCTGAGTAGGCACATCAAGGATAAAGGCAAAAGCTGGGGGTGCCTCGGGAAGTGCCTTTCTTTGCGGCCTGTGCATTCACTCTTTCTGGGATGCAGGCTGAGTTGGATAAGATTTGCCCCACTCGTGCTGCCCTCAAGTTCTTCTATTCCAGGTAGGATGTCTTCTGGAGTACAAGTACAAAAGCTGTGTTTATGGCTCTTTCCATTTTACAATGGACTTTCCTACCGGTTGTGGAATTTAGCATGATGGAAGGACCAAGTGCTAGTTGCTGTTGTTGTTTACATTGGTAGTGGTCATTTGTTGGTTATTTTGGCAGGACAGTGTCCATTCTACATTCCTTTGGTAACAGTGCTTAGTTCCTTCTGGGGATTTGCCTCTTCCCTTGGAGATGGTCTGGTAGGACTTTGATGAAGGTGCGCTGCTCTCCCTCAGTCAAGGAGCAGGTACATGACCTGGGGATCTATAGGCTCCCTCCCTACACTTTCGGCCTCAACCAGAAAGATAAACAGATTGAAAAAGAGTAGACCCATTTTGACCAGGAGTAGCTCCCAGAAAAGAAAGCTGGGTATTCCTGACACCATAAAGATTCATAAAGTTTCCCTGGTGCAAAGCCTGGTGCTCCAGCCATTTCTGAGTTTGGTCTCTGAGCCTATTTCTTTTGCTGTCCTATTGCCTTTCAAAAATCTCCCATTTTGCTTAAGTCAGCAAGAAAGAATTTGGTTTCTGTTACTTGCAACCAAAGAATCCTAACTGCTACAGATTCATGTACTCAAAGTTTCCACTACAGATGTTCAAGGGAATGGAGACTATGGGTAAATCCAATAAGCTGATTATGTGAATATTGATTAAGAAAGCTTCTATATATTTTATAAGAGTTATTATTCAACACCATATCTTGTCTTCTTTATATCTCCCTGCCTTGAAGTCTCTCTTCTGATTAATCTGTTGTTTATTTCAACTCCTTATCAAACATTTCCCAAGGTATAGTAAATGGCTATATATTACCTAAAACCCTGATTATCCACAATATCTTTCACCCTGACAGATCTTATGGGAGTAGAAGGGGGTGGTACTTTGATTTGTAAAAATAATATATAAGGTATATGTATTTGACTATCAGTTTATAAAATGAAAGGTAATCATTTGTGGAAAACAAAAATATAGCAAAATATTCAAAAATAATGGGCCAAGTAATAATAATAATGTATTTTATTGAATCAAAGACAATATCAGTTGTTGAAAACACTGTTATTTAATGTACCACTAAGAAGGAAAAACATGCTACCAATGAATTTATGGCGCACCATCTGCTCTAATCTAAATTTTTGTGTATCCCAAATTCATGTTAGATCCTTCTGCCCAATTTGAGGTGGAGCCTTTGGAAGGTGATTACATCATGAAGGCAGAGTCCCCCTGAGATTAGTGTCCTTATAAAAGAGATTGCATATGCCCCTTCTTTCCGCTCCTTCTGCCATGTGAGGTTATAGTGAGAAGAAAGTTGTCTGTGAGGAGGCAGGCCCTTACTCTGAATCTGCCAGTGCCTTGATCTTGGCCTTCCCAGCCTCCAGAACTGTGAGATCTGAGTTGCTGTTGTTTATAAGCCACCCTATTGTATTTTGTTATAGTAGATTAAACAGACTAAGATACCATCCCAACTTCAGAGATATTGCAAAAAGGCAAAAAAAAATGTTTTAAAGTGATGAAATTTGGTAATAAAACTGATAATGTATGGAGTTCTAACTAAATGACAGGCCCTCTTCTAACTGTTTTACATGTATTAATTCATTTAACATTAATGATCTAATGGAGTAGTATGCTATACAAGTATACTGGTATGATATACAAGTAATATCCATAATTAGCCAAACAAATAGCTTAGAACTAATGTAAATTCAAAGTGGGGTTATTACAAGTTTTATTTAAACAGACAAATTTGTGTTTCAATCAAAGCAATAATTACAATTGTGTGAGAGAGCAGTGCTCTGAATTTTTTTTTTTTTTTTTTTTTTTTTTGAGAGACAGTCTCACTCTGTCGCCCAGGCCGGAGCGCAGTGGTACCATCTCGGCTCACTGCAACCTCCACCTCCTGGGCTCAAGCAATTCTTGTGCCTCAGACTTTGGAGTAGCTGGGACTACAGGTGCCCACCACCACGCCTGGCTAACTTTTGTATTTTTAGTAGAGACAGGGTTTCATCATGTCAGGCAGGCTGGTCTTGAACTTCTGCCGCCTCAGCCTCCCGAAGTGCTGGGATTACAGGTGTGAGCCACCGTGCCCAGCCTTAATGTTTTCTTTTATGAAATCAGTATCAAAAATTGTAACCTTGTTTTTTACTGAAAAATTCATTTGTAGTTTTGTTTCAATCCTTACAATTTAAAAACAAAATGCCATTGCTTCTAAGCTTTGTTTTCTAAATCTTGAAAGACCCCTGGGCCAGAAGCAATCAATATTTTGCTTCTTTCCCTATCTCTCTTCTAGGTTGTGTAAGTTGACAGTGCTATTCAGCATTTCTGTGAAGGTATTTTGTGGAATACTGGTGTGGAGATGTTCTGTTGTAACTTGAATAAATCCTGGGGCTCACGTGGCCAGTCTCAACAGGGTTAGCATTCAAAGAAACAGTTCAGTAACCAAGTGTGATCACTCTCTTTCATTTCTTAAAGAATATTAAAGGAGATCCAATCCATAATTCGTAACTTCATTTCTTAAATTTTTCTTTTCCTCATTCTTCTCCTTATATAATTGTCTCACATCTCAAAGCTTTCTCAACACCTCTCTTCCCCCATTTTTTTCACTCAGTTCCACACCAAATTATCTTGGACACCCTCTACCTTTGTAGAATCTTCTCTTTTCTTCCTCTTCCCCTTTCTTTCCATCATTTTAAATTTCTTTCAAGAAAGCCCTGACCCTGTCTGATGACAATCCCTCATTCCAGATACCCTGAGTCTTCCACTTCTGATTGATTAGTTGAGGATGTAGAATGAGGACCATGAGATGAATATCAAATAGAGGGAAAGGTGCTGAGTGAACAATGTTAGACGTTGTCATTGAGGGTACAGGTCAAGAAAGAGGCAAATCATTTGTTCATACATTAATGATATTTTGTTTCTTTACTTTAAAAAAATGCACTGTGGTCATTTATATTGATGAACTCTAGGGACCTTTTGAAAATTTACTGGCACATTAGTATATCAAAGACTCTGAGAAGTCTTGCAATTAAGAATCTTAATTATCTTTGTTTTATCTAGTATTTCTCAAACACATTTCAAAATGATCATTTTCATCTCCCTTCCCCACTTAACACACGTAAGTACCCATGAAGATGATTACGGTAAAGTGGTCTTAAATAATAAAAGATATAACAAAAACAATTGAAGGTATATTTGTAATATACACATAGCTTGGTTGGATGGATGTTTCAGTGAGGACAACAGTAGTTTGAATGCAGTATGCATTTTTCACATAACTTGGAAAGCAGTGCCATTTTGCCCTTTGTCTTGTAGTTGGAATATGAGATAACCGATGCAAAACAGCTACCAACCGAGTCTGTCTGGCCACCGTTTACACAGATACAGTTGCACAACTGGCCCTGTTCAACAGTTATCCTTGAATTTGATTTGTCAAGATGGTTTGTGTTATTACCTCCGTGGTATCTTGATTTACCTTGGGCAGTGGCCAGTCCCTTCAGTTCATGTTGGCTATTAGCCCATTAGCTGTTACATGAGTTTACTGTCAGTGGGTGTGGAGGGTATGATTATTTGCAGATGGACTTGTCCACAGCTAGAGGTAATATGTACCTGGGTGTCTAAGCAGGTTTTCATAAGGGATCATCTGGAAAAGATTGGAAAACAGCACCTGAAGCCACATGTGCTTAGTTTGGCATGCAAAACCTTGCATACTAGATTCAGTAGTGGGGCAACAGATGATGAATAATTTGCAAACTGATAACGTTTTAGCTGGACCTGATAATATTGGGAATCTTCCTATATAAAGATACAGAATATTCATTATTAACAATAAAAAAACAGACAATAGATAGACAGATTTTAGGCAATCTAAGAAACAAATTTAAGTATTCTGGCCCTTTTTTTTTTTTTTTTTTTTTTTTTTTTTTTTTTTTTGCCTGTTTTACTTTGGATTGTTGACATTTGGAGCAATGTTGGGTGACAAGACTCAAAATCATTATCATTGCTTGGACTTACAATTTGTTTAAGATTTACACCACCTCAACATAAATGGCTGGTTTTACTAACATTCCACCTGAAATTTTGTATACTTCTTTGGTCATCTTAAAAAAATACTTATCCACAAACTTGCTCAGCTTAAGGAAAAATTGGAAAAATCTTACATGCCCTAAAATAGGGAATCCTTTATCATATTACATTTATATGTGGTAACCATTAGTGCTGTCCACCAAATATTTCCAATTCTCCTCCTGGACACATAGTAAGATTTCATTTCTTTCCCACTTTAGGTTAAGTGAAGCCATGTGACTAGCTTTAGCCAATGAAATGTGACAGGAAATACAATGTGGCATCCAGGCAGAAACTTTAAGAACTAGTGTATAATTTTTTTTCCCCCATTGTCAAGTTTTTCTTCTACCTGGGTCCTGGAGTGAGAACATTATGTGACAGAGCCAATCCCTAACTGATCTACAATTGACGCATAGAGTGAGCAAGAAATTAAAAATGGTTTTATGTCACTGAGATGTTGGGGGTATTTGTTACTACAGCTTAACCCAGACCATTCTGGCTGATAGGCCACATGGGACACTAAACAGTTCATGAAAATTACATAGTAGAAAAATGTCAGATGATAAAGGACAGATATAGATTATATATTCAGTAAAAATTGCAAGTTTTAAACAAGTATTGGTTAATCATTGAAAAATACATATGAAATGGAGTTTCCTGGGATAGATTGGATCTTTAGAATTCTGAAGCTGAAAGTAATTCAGTGAAAAAACGTGTCTTTGGCAAGTGTCCATCAACATACGGATAAGCAAAATATGGTGGATACATGCAATAGAACATTATTCAGTCTTAGAAAAGAAAATCTGACATGCTACAACCTATGAGGACATTACGTTAAGTGAAATAAACCAGTCACAAAAAGATAAACGTTGTATAATTCCACTTATATGAGGTATAAGTATAGTCAAAACCACAGAGACAGAAAGTAGAATGATACTTGCCAGGGACTAGGGGAGAGAAAGTGGAGAGTTGATGTTTAACGAGTATAGAGTTTCAGTTTTACAAGATGTGAAGAGGAAAACACATCATTCCCTTTTCCTGGGCTTGGGAGAGGGCTTCGGGTCTCTTCTGCGTGAAACAGAGAAGCCTGATGATTCCTGGTGTTGAAAAGTAAGCTCGCTCTGGCCTCAGAGAGGTCAGTTGGTGGTTGGGTGGGAGCCAGCCTCAACCTATGATTCTAAGAATAGTGTGGGGGCTGAGGCGCTTGGTCCCCCAAAGGTTTGCTGTAAGATCACTGACATGAAGCAGATTGGTGAATAGGAGGAAAGGCATGCACATTTATTTCACATGTATACATGGAGTCTTCAGAATGAAGACCCAAAGATACAAGGAAAAATGTCTATTTTTATGCTTAGGTTCGACAAAGTATGCATAGCCACGTAGAAATATGATTGGACAAAAAGGGTCTGATCTGCTGCGAATAGACTGAGCAGGGAGACTCCGCGAGACCTGTATGTTCAGGTTCTTCTTGGTCTCCCTGTGTAGCATTCCTTCCTTCTGGGTATGGGGACATCTGCCTTCTCTGGAATGGAGGTTCTCTGGAATGGGGGTCTTCTGACCTAAAGTCAAACAAGGTAGGTCAGATCATTTATTTCTGGCCCTTTTTTGTATGGAATATTTTTAGGTTTCTTGGCTGGCTTTCAGCCAAAAGGGGTTCTAGTTTCTATGCCTCGCCTTGGGGGAAGAGGGATTCTAGTTTTTATGGCTAGCCTTGGGTTGCAGGGGAGAAAGGAACTGCAAGACAGGAGGGCAGGAGAAGATCAGAGAAAAACTTTTGCTTCTGTGGCTGCTCTGAGGCCTTCATTTTGGGGTACCATTTTTTGAACCCCAACATTAGCCACTTGGTCTGGGAGCTGGAGGGCCTGTGTTGCTATTTACAGGGAAGAGCCAAGGAAAGAGCGTATCCTTCCCTAGGCTTTCATGGATGTATGAGGACCAGTCAACCGCGAAGGGTGGCGGACTGTCACAGAGCCAGCAAGAGAGGATTCAGTCCCAGAGCAAAAAATGGAGGCCCCCAGCCAGGGTCCTCCTGCAAAGTATGACAATTCAGAACTACTGGGGATAGTGCAGACAATGTTCAGCCTCCAGTGTGTGTTCCTGTCTCTCCCTCTAGAGGACAGTTCTCGCTCTCAAAGTGCCTTCAGTGTGTCGTCATGGTAAAAAGGCAGGAGACAGCAAAGGCTTGATTCCAGCTGCACCATGCCTCGCTTTCACTTTCCCTGAAGACAAAAGAAGATGGCACGTAAGGAAAGCTCACCCCAGGGAGTTTTCTCGGAGAACATAAGCGGTCCCAGTAGGGTAAAGGAGAAAATAATTATCTGGAAAGGTTGCAATTAATAGTGTCAGGTTTAACCTTTGTGCTAATATGGGAATCTAAGGCACTAAGTCATCCCCTAAGACCTAGTGCTCTCTGTACAACAAAGCTTTAGTCTTTTCATGTACAAGTCAGTGCTTATTACATCCAATGCCTGAGTTCCCAGGGAACGGAGTTCCTTCTCAGGCAGCCTGCCAAGGACACCAGAAATTAAGCAGGGATCTGTGGCTCTGTCGTCTAGCTATGACCAAATTTGTTCTTTCTGCCTTGCCTGCCAGTGAACCTACTGCTAGACTGAGATGTAAATGCCATTTCTGGTGTACATTAAGAAAATGTGAAATAATTAGTTCAAAGCCATGGTTATGGAACAAAAACATTAAAAATATAAGTTAGAAAATCGTTGTGACAATGTTCATGTGAATGGTGAGGGTAGGGAGTCCATTGCATGTATGTGGGTGCATGTGTGGAGGAGTATGTGTGTTGAATAAATATGCATAAAGAGTGCATTAGCAGTAGATCCAAGAATTTATGTATGGGGGTGGGCGTGGAAATCCACATTTTAGAAACATTTTTTCCTTTTTCACAGTCAAGTGACGTTTTTTCAGACATCTGTTCTGTGAGCAAAGTAGGGAGGGACGGACATCGGCGTTAAGTGCTTGGGAGAGGAATTCTGGAGGAACACTACCCACTTAATTTAGCTCGGCTCTATGAAAGATTACAGGGTTTAGGACTATTTCCGGCCACATCCGAGAGTCTGTGAAAAGTGGAAGTAAAGTCATTAAGCGGAATGGGCGTTTGTACATTTGGTAATTTGTCTTGAGTCAGAAAGTCTAGACACTCCCCTGGGAATGGGGGGAAAATGGGGGCCATGGTTATGACCTTCAGGACTCTGGAAACAGGAAAGGCAAAAACCTGGGAGGTCCTGAAGCAAATGGGCTCAATAGATCTTTTTTCTTTCTTTCTTTTTTTTTTTTTTGAGACAGTCTCACTCTCTCACCCAGGCTAGAGTGCAGTGGCATGATCTTGGCTCACTGCAATGCCGCCTCCCGGATTCAAGTGATTCTCGTGCCTCAGCCTCCTGAGTAGTGGGGATTACAGGCACGCACCACCACTCCTGGCTAATTTTTGTAATTTTAGTAGAGATGGGGTTTCACCATGTTGCCCAGGCTGGTCTCGAACTTGCAAGCTCAGGTTAACCACACGCCTCGGCCTCCCAAAGTGCTAGGATTACAGGCATGAGCCACGACATCCAGTTGATAGTTCTTGATGAAGGCACATAAAGCAAAATGAAAGCCCACTGGTCTGGTGTTCAGACACAATCCAGGCCTCACCCGACTTGGAGACAGGTAGCCCCAGCCAGCAGGAGAGTTACAGACCTCAGCTAGATCTGGGGACCACCAATTTCCTACCAGGGCAACCTGAGAATGTAATCTCCGTGTGCCTCAGTTCCTTCCCCTCTTAAATAGGCACAGCCATTGTAACAACCAGAGTAGCTAACATGGATGAAGAACTTCCTGTGTACCAGGCACCATAAAAAATGCTGGATTCCTGTACTCTTCTTGATAATCCTACAGTGTAGTATTATTATATTTCATTGATTCTAAGATGTTCTTTTTTATACTTTAGCATTCTCTGTTATCAGGATGAATAATTGGTAAGCAAGCATATAAGTCATGGTTAAATTTTTTTTTAAGAGACAGGGTCTTGCTATGTTGTCCAGGCTGGTTTTAAACTCCTGGCCTCAAGTGATTCCCCTGCTTCAGCTTCCAAAGTGCTGGGATTACAGGCATGAGTCACCACACCCAGCCAGTCATGATTAAATTTATACTTTTAAATCTTTTTTAGTGATTTATAAATTGATGATGTGTTAGATTCAGTGAGGAAACTGAGGCAGAGATTTGAAAACTGAGGTACAGGTAGGTTGAATAACTCGCCTAAGTTCACACAGTTAGAAAGTGGTAGAATGAGAGTTTGACTTAATGCTGTTTCTAGAGTTGATTTTCTTCCAAGGTGCTAGACTTCCTGGTCCCTCCACTTACTAGCTGTGTGATCTCGGGCAAATTCCTAACCTCCCTGTGCCTCTGGGGTTTTTTCATCTGTGAAATGGTGATAATAATATTAGCAACTGCTTCATAGGATTGTCATGGAGGTTAAACAAGTTTACCTATGTAAAGTTCTGAAAATAGTGCCTGACATATGGCAAGTATTCAATAAACTTTAGCTACAATTACTTTTTATTCTTCTAAAGAGAAAACCAGCATCACTTGTTATGTATAGAAGACAACTGGAAAAAAGAGGGCTGTAACTAGCAAAAGGAGAATAAGTTCATCTCTGTATCCCTAAAATCATCTTGGCCCCAGGATAGATATGCTTACCATATTTTGGGAAATTTTTTGTTGTTGTTGTTCTATCGCTCCAAAACTGAGAAATCAAGTAAAAGCGAGATGGGGAAAAGTGAGAGGGAGTGGCTGTGAGAGGTGAGGAGGGAGGGACAAACAGAAGGACGAGGTAGGGCAGCAGATCTAGGGCTGCCTTGGGTTTGCTTCAGGAGGTGGGAACAGCATGGTGCTTATGCTGGGGTAGCCATAGCAGTTGGAAGTAGCTATACTGACTGAAATGAAAAACAGTTTCAATCTGCAGGTTGCAATTCATTCGTAAGTTATAGGATGAACTTGGTGGGTAACAATCAGTATCTTTAAAAATATAGGAGCAGAGGCCAGGCGTGGTAACTCACACCTGTAATCCCAGCCCTTTGGGAGGCCGAGGCGGGCCTGATCACTGAGGTCAGGAGTTTGAGAATAGCCTGGCCAACATTGTAAAACTCTGTCTCTACTAAAAATATTTTCAAAAATTAGCCAGGAGTGGTGGCGCACACCTGTCATCCCAGCTACTTGGGAGGTGAGGCACTGGAAATACTTGAACCCAGGAGGCAGAGGTTGCAGTGAGCTGAGATCATGCCACAGCACTCCAGCCTGGGCAACAGAATGAGACTGTCTCAAAAAAAACGAACAAACAACAACAACAAAAAATACAAGGGAAGTCAGGGGAATACAAGGGAAGGCAAGGTAAGTATCACAGGATATCATATGTAATAACAATACATACATATTGTTTTACTGAACTTGTATCTCAGCTAAGAGTGTACAGATGTGCGTAATGGGTTGGGATGTAAAAGATTTTCTGTGGGTCTCAGTGCAAAAGTTTGGAAGCCACTGGACTAAAGCAAAGATAAGATTAGGTGTTGGCTGAAAAATAAATATACAGTATAAATTTAAAGTAATATGTTTTATATTAACAACCAGGGACCCCTGCTTTCGCAAGGGTGTAGCTTTCTAGAAGCATTCAGGGACCCTGACACACCACATGGCATCTGTAAAACACTCTCCCTTTCTGCACCTCTTGGCCTTGGGGAAACTACTCACCCCCCACACCACCCCTCAACCCTGCCCAGATCCTGGGCTGACTTTGACTTTGCCTCTCCTTGGCTCAGCCACTTTTCCTTAGACCTAATTCCTGTCCCTCTCTCCCACATCTTTCCAGATGTCCAGGATAAGGGCCAGCTTTTGTTGATCCACACAGCCTGGGACTCCACACAGGAACCTAGTCATCTCCAGAGGCTGAGCTGTTCTCTTTTGTGTTTTATTTAGGTGTTCTTGAAATACACATGACAAAGAATGACAGTGAATTGGAGAAGTAACACTCCCCAGTAGTGACAGCAACTCAAATCATGTGGGGCCTGAGTCTGAACAGGCTCCAAATCAAGGGTTAGGTGATGGATCCTAAACCAAGAATTATGGCTCAGATTGGAACCAGGTAAAACAGCTCTGAAAGAATAGATCTAGCTTCATTTATACTAAAAAGTAAACAGAGACAAGTATTAAATCTGAATCAAGTTAACATTGTTTAACCTAAAGTATACATGCGGCCAGGCACGGTGGCTCACGCCTGTAATCCCAGCACTTTGGGAGGCCGAGGCAGGTGGATCACCTGAGGTCAGGAGTTTGAGACCAGTCTGACCAACAGGGCGAAATCCCATCTCTACTAAAAATACAAAAATTAGCCAGGCGTGGTGGTGGGTGCCTGTAATCCCAACTACTCGGGAGGCTGAGGCAGGAGAATTGCTTGAACCCAGGGGACTGAGGTTGCAGGTGAGCAGAGATCGCACACTGCATTTCCACCTGGGTGACAGAGCAAGATTCCGTCTCAAAAAAAAAAGCACACATGCAAATTTCAGAATAAGGGGATTAAAATGCCTGCCAAAAATTTGGGAAGCTCTTTCTCTGACAACACAGAACAGGGCCAAGTCCAGGTGGCATGAAGCAACTCTCAATAAGATGCCTTGAACAGGACTAGCTGTTGCTTCCTTCCTAATGTCTATACTCATCAAGCCACATGAACTTGTGTGTTTTCTAAATTAGTTTTAACTTGCAGGTAAAATAACTGGAAATCATCAGTTAGCATCATAGGGAGGTCCCCAGAAGAAAAAGAAGTCAAATCTTTTCAATATGTAAAACTGGAGGTGATCAGCCTGTTTTGCAAAAGATGAATGAAACACAGACATTAGCAGACTCATTTTAATTCATTAAAATTATCTCAAGGGTTAAAGAAAAGGCAAAACCTGGGCATCATTGAGTGTGATAAAGACTTCACATGCAAGAATTCCCAAAATGAAGGCATTTAAAACACAGCTACTACATTTGTAAACTTACATTGTTTGCAATTCAAGTATACCTTATTATTCAGTGGCTTCTTTTTGGTCACTATTACATAAGTAACATTTTTCATTAACTATTTATTCTTCTTATTAATATGAAACAGAAAAAAAAATTAAGATTCTAGAATACACTTCTTGCTTTTAATTCATTTTTGAACTGATTTTTACACAAACTTTTACAAATTTCCCAGGATTTATAGAAACCTAACTATTGAATAAATTGAGACATGAATATATTACCTCTTAAGTCTTGTAGAAAACAAGGTCAAAGTTGGTAGCAGACAGGAGAAGAGTTTGGCCAAATCCCTGGGGTCTAAAAGGGATAAACAGCAAACTGGTCTTATCTTGAGCCTCCATACCCAGGACCTGAGCTTAGAGGAGGCCCAATTTCTTCACAGCCATTCCTCAAAAGCATTCCTGGAACTCCTTACTTGTAAGCTTTAGGGCCTGTGCACATTCTCTGGGATTTTCTTGGAAGTAGCCAACCTTCATTCTTTTCAAAATGGCCAGAAGTTAGTTGGATTTAGATCTGGTGAATCAGGTCAAATGCATTTAAACAAGCTGTGACTTTGAAGTGACAACTCTGTCTTTCTCATTTAGTTCATAAACAGACCCGGTAGGAGTAAACACATCAGTTCCTTAAGGGACATGGAAAATGGTGTGGTGGGTGGGGAATAACTAACAGAATTATTAATCTTAATGGCATGCAGCCATGATTAGAGCTAATAAAGTTGACGCCAGCTTTTCAAAGCTTGAGTTTAATGTTTAACAACAAGGAGAAAATAAAGATAAGGAATAAATTCTATCACTTCTAATAAGAGTTAGATTCCAGGACAATCAAAAATTCCAAGGAGAAGAACCGAGAGCCAGAAAGATCTCCCAGAAATGTTCCCTTCTGTAGGTAATTCCTCTTCCCTCTCAGGATTGAAAAACAACCAACCTAAACTGGGGGAGGGCGATGGAAAAAAGAAAGAAAAGTTCAGCACTTTATTTGTTGATGCAAGTTACATGCATAGTATCAAAAATTAGAAAATAAAGCCACTTGTAAGCCTGGCATGGAGAGATAAACCCTGTTAATATGTTTGGGTATATCTCCTTCAAAATGCTGATATATAACCTGTTTGTGTAATTCTGTATTTATTTATATATGTACATATAAGTAGACATACAAACATAAAATATATTTTTCTTTTAGATGATATGCTATGGATGCTTTTTGTTTCTGTTAATAAAATGAATATTTTACATGTCAACAAATATATACTTATTTTATAATTTTAGATGGCTACTTCACAGTATTTTCACGAATAGATCATAATTTATTTAATCAAAGCCTAATTTTGAGCATTTACATTTTTATAAGCATTTGCTGTTTATGAACAATGCTAAGGTATCCGTATTCAGGCACACAGCTTTAAACATTTGTTCAATTTCTTCCTGCCATGGTGAAAGAAGGTCTCTTTGCTATGGTCTGAATATTTGTGTCCCTCCATAATTTATATATTGAAACCTAGCCTGCAAGTGATTGTATCAGGAGGTGGGGCTTTTGGGAAGTGATTAGGTCAGGAAGGTGGAGCCTCATGATTGGAATTAGCAACCATAGAAAAAGAGACACCATGTGAGGACAGAGCAAACAGGGTGGGCTGCCTATGCAGTAGTAAGTAGGCCCTCACTAGACTCCACTGGCACCTTGATCTTGGACTTCCCAGCCTCCAGAATGGTGAGAAATAAACTTCTGTTGTTTGTAAGCTACCCAGTGTTTTGTTATAGCAGCCCAAATGGACTAAGGCACTCCTAATATAAATCAAACATTGAAAATTGTAAAATAGGAAGTCCTACCCAGAGCAATTAGGCAAGAGAAAGAAATAAAAGGCATCTAAATAAGAAAAGAAGAAGTCAAACTATCTCTCTTTGCTGATGATATGATTCTATACCTAGAAAACCCTAAAGACTCTGCCAATAGGCCCTGGAACTGATAAATGACTTCAGTAAAGTTTCAGGATACAAAATCAATGTACAGAAAGCAGTAGCATTTCTCTCCACCAATAACATTCAGGCTGAGAGTCAAATCAAGAATGCAATTACGTTTACAATAACTACATACACACAAAATATACCTAGGAATACATCTAACCAACGAGGTGAAAGATCTCTATTGTGAGAACTACAAAACACTGCTGAAAGAAATCAGATAACACAAGCAAATGGAAAGATACTTTCCATGCTGATGGATTGGAAGAATCAATATTGTTTAAAAAGGCCATACTGCTCAAAGCAATCTACAGATTCAATGCTATTCCTATCAAACCAACATAGTTTTTCACAGAACTAGAAAGAACAATTCTAAAATTCATATGGAGCTAAAAAAGAGCCCAAATAGCCAAAGCAATCCTAAACAAAAGGAACAAAGCTGGAAGCATCACATTACCTGACCTGAAACTATACTATAAAGCTACAGTAACCAAAACAGCATGGTACTGGTAAAAAAACAGACACACAGACCAATGGAATAGAATAGTTAACCCAGAAATAAAGCCACACACCTATAGCCATCTGGTCTTTGACAAAGTCAATAAAAATAAGCAATAAGGAAAGGACTTATTATTCAATAAATGGTGCTGGGATAACAGGCTAGCCATATACAGAAGAATGAAACTAGACTTCTACCTTTCACCATGTACAAAAATTAACTCAAAATGCATTAAATATTTAAGTGGAAGACTTCAAACTACAAGAAACATAGAAAAAAACCTAGGAAACACCATTCTGGGCATCACCTATAGGAAAGAATTTATGACTATGTCCTCAAAAGCAATTGCAACAAAAACAAAAATTGACAAGTGGGACCTAATTAAAATAAAGAACTTCTGCACAGCAAAAATAAACTATTGACTGATTAAACAGACAACCTACAGAATTGGAAAAAATATTCACAAGCCAGGCATTTGACAAAGGTCTAATATTCAAACTGTAAGGAGCAATTAAACAAGCAAAAACAGATAACCCCATTAAAAATGGGCAAAATACATCAACAGACATTTCTCAAAAGAAGACATACAAGCAGCCAATAAACATATGAAAAAAATTATCAATATCACTAATCATCAGATAAATGCAAATCAAAACCACAATGAGATACCATCTCACACCAGTCAGAATGACTATTATTAAAAAGTCAATAGGTAACAGATTGTGGAGGGCTGTGGAGAAAAGGAAACACTTATATGTTGTTAGTCAGAATGTAAAGGGAATGCTTATACACTGGTTGGTGGGAATGTAAATTAGTTCAGCCATGGTGGAAAGCAGTTTGGAGATTTCCCCAAGAACTAAAAACAGAATTACCATTTGACCCAGCAATCCCATTACTGGGTATATATGCAAAGGAAAATAAATTGTTCTACCAAAAAGACACATGCACCTGCATGTTCATTGCAGCACTATTCACAATAGCAAAGACATGGAATCAACCAAGGTGCCCATCAATGATAGATTAGATAAAATGTGGTACATACACACCATGGAATGCTATGCAGCCATAGAAAAGGAAGAAATCATGTCCTTTGCATCAATATGGATGCAGTTGGAGGCCATTGTTCTAAACAAAGTAATACAGAAACAAGAAATCAAATACCGCATGTTCTCACTAAAAGTGTGAACTAAACATTGGAAACTCATGGACATAAAGATGGCAGCAAAAGAAACTGGGGACTACTGTGGGGAGGGGGAAGGAGGAAAAGGGGTGAAAAACTAACTATTGAGTACTATGCTCAGTATCTGGATGAAGGGATCATTTGTACCCCAAAACTCAACATCATGTAATACATGCACATGTACCCCCCTGAATCTAAAATAAAAGTTGAAATTAAAAAAAAGAAATTGCAAAATAATAAATACATTAAGGAAAAATATAAAAGCCACTGTTTTGAGAAAACAACTAACATTTCAGTGACCATTTTTCCATGTAACTCTTTATGCATTATGTACACATAGGCATAATATATGTGTGTGTGTGTGTGCGTGTGTGCATTTATGTGTGTTTTTATACACACACAAGGTTTAAGGGGGACATTTTTAAAGGGATTGGTGATATATAATTCTCTGTATCTTAATAATATATAATGGAAATTCCTCAATGTCAGGTAGTATAGGTAATTAATTTTTAATTCTTGGATAAAATTCTACTGTAAGCATTATTATCATTCAGCTCTTCTTTTACTAATAGAGTTTTCATTTGCTATCAACTTTTTGTTATTAAAAATAATGCTGCAGTACACACACACACACACACACACACACACTTATATGTACTGGGGCTTTTATTTCTATAGTATAGAGTCCCAGGAGTGAGATTCTGGGTTGAATCGCATGTGCATTTAAATTTTTAATAGAGATCACAGATTGCTTTTTCACATTTCTACAGTGATATATGAAAGCGCCCTTGCCCCAGCTCCCATCTCTGCTAATAATAGGTGCAATTACTCTTTTTTTTTTTTTTTTTTGCCACTCTGATGGCTATGATCATGGTAATTTTCATTTCCATTTCTCTGACTATTGGAGGAGATTGAACATGTTATCATACTTGCTCTTCTGCCAATTGCCTATTCATATCCCGAATTTATTTTGCTATTGGGTTGATTATCTTTATCTTATTAAATTGTGACAAAGCTTTTTTTATATATAGATACAAAGTTTTATCTATCATTTGATTTATAATATTTTTTCTAGCTTGTTTACCTACTGATCTTGTTTTTGGTATCTCTTGCACTACAAACAATACCTTGAAATTTTATAAAGTTAGGTTGATCACCTATCTTTGTTTAAAAGAGTTATTTAATTCTTAGGTGTACAGACAATAACCTAATTTTTTTCTAAAATGGTTATTATTTATTTATTTTTACTTTCAAGTCAAATTCATTAGGAATCTATTTCATAATTAATATAAACTAGGGGGCCCAAATTTCTTTTCTTTCAAGAGCATATCCCAGCACTTTGGGAGGCCGAGACGGGCGGATCATGAGGTCAGGAGATCGAGACCATCCTGGCTAACACGGTGAAACCCCGTCTCTACTAAAAAATACAAAAAAAAAATTAGCCGGGCGTGGTGGCGGCGCCTGTAGTCCCAGCTACTCGGGAGGCTGAGGCAGGAGAATGGCAGGAACCCGGGAGGCGGAGCTTGCAGTGAGCCGAGATCCGGCCACTGCACTCCAGCCTTGGCGACAGAGCGAGACTCTGTCTCAAAAAAAAAAAAAAACGGTGAACTCGCCTCTACTAAAAATACAAAAAAAAATTAGCCATGGTATGCCTGCAAACCCG